GGGGGGGTGTTTTGGTTTTTTTTAAGCAGCATGAATATAACGCTGGTGGAGAAAATGAGTCAGATGGCACCTAAAATGTGTTAAGCTATCTGATGGCATTCCAGGCTCTTGCTCTTTTTATTGGTTTTATAATGACCTTGATGACCTTCTCCTCAAAAAGGAAAAGAAGCCCCTTCCCCCAAAGCTGTGCTGGGCTTTGGGGCCCCAGCGGAGCTCAGCAGCCCTTGAATTGGGCTCTACTCGGCAGGATACTTTGTATACCCTAAATGTTTTTTGATTCCAGACGACACTTTTCACGTTTTGATGTCTCGAATGAACTGGAATAATGGTTCAAATTACTGTTTGTGGTCTGTTGTACCCCAACCGTGCTGCATACGGACAGGGAGCAGGCTCAGGTCTGGGTGCTGAAGGTCGTGGCTGGGGGGGAGTTATGGGGCTGCTCTCGTGTCCCAGCCTCGGGGCCGAGCAGCACAGTGGGGTGGTTTTCTCATTCAAGCTGTGGGCTGTGTCTGGCAAATGGATATTTTTTTAATGCAGCCACCTACAGAAACATCAGAAGAGGCCCTTGTGGATGGTAAATGGATTTGCCATCGTGCCTGGGCTGGGCAGCATCATCCGCTCTCCCCGAATGCCCTGACAGGGGTACGCGGGGTGGGTGGATCCCCTGGCCCTACATAATTAATGAAATGCATTGTTTTACCCACTTTTTTCAATAAATTCCATGTGTGCCAGAGCAATTTACAGTGCTGGTAAGCAGCTGCTCTCTTTCCCGGAGGCATCTGGTAGCTGGGCCAGCCCTTGCTGCGTTGCTCAATCGGAGCTGAACAGGAACGAGTTTAACTTCCCCGCCTCGACGGCAGCACCGGGGCAGGCGTAGCTCCGGGCAGGGACACGCTGTGGGAACAGCAAGGTGTTTCATTGACTCTGTGGGAGGTTGCAGTACCTCCCTGAGGAGCTGACAATTGCTGTTTCTGTTCCACTCTGAGCCTTTCTCGCTTTTCTTTAAAACAGCCTCGACCCCTTGAAGTCTCTCTCGCGGAACAGAAATGGGATCGACATGGAGTCAGATGTCTACAAGATGCTTCAGGATTATGAAAAGCCCGTGTCGGAGCCGAAGCAGTCTGGATCCTTCCGATACCTGCAGGGCATGTTGGAGGCTGGTGAGAACGGTAAGGAGGTTGGCACCCCTAGCACGTCCCAGCGCAGCCCAGAACCGGGGCTGCGGCACGGCACCGCACTGCTGTGGGGATTGAACCCTCATTTGGTCCCTCTGAGCCCACCTAGTTGTTCCAGCAGGCTTAGCCTCCTTCTCCTTCCCTCGCTGAGGTCCAGAAGCTGAAGAGCCTCTAAAGGACCCGTCTCCAAGAGCTGACACGTTCGCAAACTCTTGTGTTGTGCTGAGGCAGCTCCACGGGAAGGTCCAGGCACCCTGTGAGGGCGAACACCCAGATGGCAGGTTTCAAATCGGGGTTTCAGATGCTCAGCATCGGGGGGCTCCCAGGATTTTGTGGCTGACTTGAGAGCATCATGTGAAAGTTGGATTTGCAAACAGCTTCTGCGTGGCAGCCATCTTCCTGAGACGGTTGATGAAATGTAATCGCCTAAAGTGGTTGTGTCGGGTCACCGGGGGAGAACCGTCGGCCTGTTTAAGTAAATGGCATTTGCATCAGGACGTGGGATGGTCCTCAGCAGCGCAGGGATAGAGATCAGGAGCTCTTGGCTTCTCAGGTCTGCCACAGCTTCCCGCCCATGTCGTTAATGTGGGAAGGAGCCAACTGAGCATTAAATAATAAGATCTCTAAACTGCACATTTCAGCTTCTTTTTATTTGCCTTTCAACCTTCAGTGCATTGGGGCTTTCATGTTCAAACTTTCAGGCTTCGCTTTACAGTCATTAGGACAAGACTCTTCATTCTGTCACCTTCCAAGAGCCTCGTGCTCCGATGATGTGAATCCAGGAACTTGGGAAAATACCAACTGCTGCAAATCTCATTAGGAAGCTGTGAGAGGCAGCCAGTCAGGCTGTTGCACTTCAGTCTTCTGTGTATATGAACTGGTGGAGAAGGGTGTTTAACTGGAAGGATATTGCTTCTTGCTTCGCAAGAAGAAAGCAGCACAGTCACGGGTAACTTCTGAACATCGAGAGGTTCTGCCATGTTTCCTTTCCTCAGTGGTACTTGGGCATGTCTGCAAAGCATGAGGTGGGATCGGCCTTGGTAGTACTGGGTATAAATATTACAGCCCCTTCGAGGCTGGCAGGAAAACTGATGTTAGTTACAAGTTCCAGCCATCCCTTCAGGTCCCTCACTGAGAGCAAGCACAAGCAGCTTCACTGTGAGGCTCCTGCTGCGCACCCAGGTCTCTCTGTTAGGAGGAAGCAAATGGGAAGTGACTGGGTTAATCCCAGTTAATGACACTGCCGCCTTCCCCCCTTCTCTGTGCCAGGGAAAGGGAACAAAACTGAAGATTTTCTGCTGCCTCCTCTTGCATCCAACAGCACTGGGGTGGCAGAAACCCAGCACTGCCCTTTGGGGAGGAAGGGAGAAAGAGAAGGGCATGGGCTGGATGAAGGGGAGGCCGAAGAGGTGCCAGGGCAGTCCCCAGACCCTGGGACTGTCCCAGCCAGTCCTGGATGTCTGCTCACCCCAGCAGTGTCTCGGCACCAGCCCCTCGCTGGTGCATCCCTGTGCGTTTGGAGCTGGGAGGCTGCTGGCGGGTCCCAGCCAGCATGGTGGCAGCTGGAGAGGTCACCTCCCGGGGCGCTGCCGCCGACCCTTCCCCTCTCAGCCGTGCTGTGCGGAGCGGGGGGTGTGTGACTGGCTGCAGGCACGGTCTCACTCGTGCCTCGGTCGTTACGACACTGTCTGTTTATTTCATAAGGGATGAGAAATGAAGTGAAAAGCATCTCTCCTGGCATAAAGCTCTGTGATGTTTCAGCAGGGTTTAAATCCCCAGGAGTGTTCCTGCTAGGTTGTCTTACAGCTTCCACCCCTGCTCCTTTTTCCTTAAGCCTGACATCATACGTTTTGGCCCAAGCCTGCTGTGCACTGTCCTTTTAAAGTCATGATCTTCTCTCCTGAGGAGCTGGGTGTCTTGGACAACAACCTGGTTTATATGGAGGGTGTTTCTACTGGAAAGCCGTATTTACTTCACTGTTGCCAGCCCCATCCTGTGCCTGTAAGGAGCTTCACGCCGAGGATCTGGCGGAGGCTGGAAGAGTCGCAGCAGTCACCTCCCTAGGTGCCCTTGGTATGGGGAAGACAAGCATTGCAGCCACGGGTGGTGATGGTTGAGACTGTGGAGTTAAAGCACCCCGCTGCCTTGCCGAGGACCATAAATGATGCTGAGAGTGTGGGCTGGTAACTAGAAGGAAATGATCTGCCAGTTGGGAAGATGGGAATCAGCCCTCTGCAGGGCTCAGTTTGCTGCAAAATCTCTTTCTTTCCCCCCCTGCCCCGGCTCTCTCCTTTAAGCAGTTTATCCAAGTGCTCCATCTGAGAGACAGTCACAGCTTAGCCGTGAAATGTTGGCAGATGAGCACGTCTAGCCCAAGCACGCCGCGTCTCACGCTGGGGGAAGCCAAGAGCTTGAGCAGTTGTTTCAGTTTATTCCCAGCAAGGCAGCGGAAGGACTCGACAGGCGAGCTTGGCTGGAGCCAGCCCAGCGCCCGGTCAGCTCCTGGGGTGGAGCAGCCCGGGCAGACTCGCACGAACTGAGGCTTTCAGCACCTCCAAACAAGATGTGTCTTGGTGAAGTGGGGTTTGGTGGGAAATTGAGTCCTTTTGGGTTTCGTTATGCACAACATTTTCACTGCTTCCTTTTCCCGTTGTTTGACCGCTATGAAAGGAGGCTTGGTGCCCCAGAAGACCCTATCTTCTACCACAATGGGTATTTTTTAGATTGTTTAAGATTAAATTAGCATTCTAGGAAGAAAAATGCGTGTATTTCTATTATTGTTCGGTTTAATTTGCCTAATTTTCCAAAAGGCTTTCATTTTTGTCAGTTTGACAGATGGTGGATCTACCAAGTGTACCCAAAGCGCTGATGTGATAGAACCTCTTCTTTCTGGAGCTTTTCTGAAATATTTGCTGTTTATCATTCTCACCTCACTAAAGAGTATTGCAGCCAAATTCTTCTCTCATCTCTAGATGAAGGCTGCTTTGCCTTTTGACAAGGTGCTTGTACTGAGTGGGTGTCATCACAGCACACGGGTGGATCATCTGCTGACGCAGCCGAGGGCTTCTGCCGCCGTCCGTGTTTCGTTAGGATGAGCAGAGGGTCAGCGCAGCGTCCTGCAGTCACCTGCAAACCTCAGTGCTGTGTGGTTCTTGAGGCAGTCGGCCTCACTGTTTGCTTTTTAATCCCTTCCAAGCAAGTTGCAGGTTCTATTGTGACAGAAGTTCATCCTAAAGACAAAAAGAAGAAGAAAAAGGAAAAAAAAAAAAAAAAAAAAAAAAAAAGGAGCCCTGATAGGCCAGGTTTTCAGTCTGTGTCTGTTTAATTCTTGGCAGGGGAAAAACTCGACAAACTGAGCAACCCCCGAAACATCAAGTCCCCGGTGTCAAAGCTTGGCGGTGCCATGTCCGGGCTGCAGATGCTCCCGGAGTGCACCCGCTGCGGGAACGGCATCGTGTAAGTCTCGCGTCTCGCTGAGGCCTCCGGGTCGGTGGGGATGGTAACGCAGGGAGGCGGCTGGGCCGGGTCCCACCAGGCCACGTGGGTTAGAATTTATAGCAGAATACCTCGTGTTTGTAGCAGGATACCTCGAATCCCTTTCTGGGTTTTTTTTGCTAACTGTATATAAACCTGGAATTGAGGAATACGGTTTGGATTGCCCCTTTTAAGGGAGTCTTGCAGCAAAACAGGGATGATTCATGGGATGGTTTCTGCCCTGCTTATCATAGTAACTGCCCAGGGACTATGAATAGCACTGGTGTTGCTGGCAGTGTTTCGCTGCCTTACGGAGGGAGAAACGCTCCGAGGGTCAAGCAGAAGAGGTCTGCGGATTATTTTTGTTTGTTTGTTGCGGAGTTGCTCTCTGAGGGATGGATGTCGGGCCTGATTTCAGAGAACATAGGCGTTTTTCTACTTCATTCTGTTGTAATTTATGTGCTGCTGTCATTTACGTTCAGCTCCAGCCAGATTGGCTGGCAGAGAGTCTGCTCTGCAAACGCCTGTAACCGTGTTCTCGCTGGTGCCGTGCGCTGAGGGTCTCTGCTCCAAAAAAGCCGCGGTGCCTGCGTGTGCGCAGCCCCAGCCCCGCCAGCAGCGCTTGGAGGATGCTGGTTCCTGATGTTCGGATCCAGGCTGAGGGTAGAGATTTGAGGCTCTGCTTGGCATCGAGCCGTGGAGCAGCTCCAAAGGGGGGCACGGGCGGATGGGAATGGAACAGCCCTTCCCGCAGAAATACAATGGAGCCATGCCTGGAGCTGGGGGGGCAGCTTTGGGTGGGCTGAGATGCTGGGATGAGAACCCACAACCACCACCTTACTCCGTTTTACTTAAGGCAGCAGGAAAAGCTGTTTGCGCTCATTGTTTCTCCATCTCACCCCAACTCTCCCCATCTCTCCCCAGGGGCACGATCGTCAAAGCTCGGGACAAGCTCTACCACCCCGAGTGCTTCATGTGCGATGACTGCGGCCTCAACCTGAAGCAGAGGGGGTATTTCTTCATCGAGGAGCAGCTGTACTGCGAGACGCACGCGAAGGAGAGGGTTAAGCCCCCCGAGGGATATGACGTGGTGGCTGTTTATCCAAACGCTAAAGTCGAACTTGTCTAAACCCAGGCTGAGCTCCGGAGAGGTCGGGCGGCCGCGCGCCCACCCACGTCCTCCCCGCCGGCGGCGCAATGTGGCTGTAATCAACCCCGATTGCCAAAGCCCAAGTTAAAATGCCTTTTCCTAGATAAAACCGTTTACACTTGGGATCTCCAGGGGATGGTGTTGAAAGCATACGAACAGGTTTTTCCCTTCTTTTTGACACTCCGCTTTTTGAGTTGCTCTGTTGGGTTATTAGTCGGTGCCATAACCTTATCCAAGATCTGTGTAAATATTAATTAATTCTCTACTCTGTTTCGTATAAAACCAGTATTCCTTTTGTTTGCCTTCCCTCTCCTGAAAAAGCAAGGGAGATGTTTTAAAAGCTCAAAGAAAATAAGGCACTTTAAGAAAAGAAGGAAGCTGACTCCTATATCCTGACCTTAATGTCCTGCCCTCTGACTGCCCCGGTGATTAAAAACCGACCCCCTGAGGAGTCTGGGACGAGGTACCGGTGGATCAGAGTCCCCGGCTCAGCCTCATCCCAGCAGATGTGCCGAGGAAGGGCGGTCTCTTGAAACAGTATTTGCTGTGAAATTCACTGGATCAGGGCGCTGCAGTTTGAGGCCGACACAGATCCGAGTTCCCCAGGAGATCTCCACCCTGAGCGTGCGACAAGGCTTTCTTCTTCCTTCTTTCACTCCTAATTCAGTTGTTCTCTGTCATCTCATCACCTTTAAAGGACACCAAAACAGCTCGGAGCCCACCTCGGCTGTTCCCACCTCTGTGCTCCTGCCCCACGGCTGTCCTTGCTTGGGCCGTTCTGACCCTTCCCTAGCTTTTGCTTGATTTTTGCAGTCCTTTATTTCTAGATCCCCAGGATGCTGCCATCTGGGTCTGCCTCCCAGTAGGGAAGTTGGGATAAAATCCCTCCAGGCACTTTAGGCGGTAACTGGAGGGACAGTGAGCCCAGCTGTGAGCCCCGAGTCCAGGGCTAGCGCGGTCGGATTTACACCCGTATCCCAAGGCTGCGCTTTCAGCCAGGTCCTTCATCCACTTCATTTGATGGTGAAGTGTTTTTGAGGATCTTGGGATGTTTCTTTGGTTTTGTTTATTTTCATGTTAGTGTTTGGAGGAGAGAAAGAGAGTTTAGTCACCCAGCTGCTGGGCGTCACCGGAGGTGGTGGTAGGAGCCGTGTGTTTGGTACCACGAGGTTACTTCTGCTTTGCAACAGCCTCCTTCTTCCTCCTCCCTTGAGAGAGAAAGGACATGGGGTGGGGGGCAAGAAAAGTCTGTGCTCACTTGTTTTCTGTGGAAAAGGAAACTAAGAGATGGGGCGATGGCCAAAGCCCTCCTTCCCCTGCTGGCTCTCCGTAACAGGAGTCTGAGAAATCTGGGATGGGAGGAGGGTTGGGAGCACACAGTTTCTTCCTACAGGTGTTGCACCCCCAAAGCGAGTAAGGATTTTAGGTACCACCTCGCAGCCTGAGGGAGGGATGCTGGCCATGCACATTCCTGCCACCAGCAGAACATCCCCCCTCTGTCGGCCATCAGGGTTTTTAATTATTAAAGTACAAGAAACATGTGGGAATTTTTATCGTTTTTCTTGTATTTGCATAGCCTCGCTCAGCAAGTTGGCCCCTCTGGAGGGAAATACTCGGGACAACTGTAAATGCTGAGGAGACTGACGATAACCGGGGGCGAGCGTTGCTGCCCTTGTTTGCAGGCCTCTGCGGGGAGCTCCTTAGTCTGCCATGGTGAGAAACCCAATTCCTCCGTTAACTTCGTGCGTCACTGGGCTGAGCTCCCCTGCCTGTAGCTTGAAAATTCAGGTGTTGTCCAAACCCAGGACTGAATCCAGCTGGGCTGAGCAACGGGAAACTCACACCAGGAATGACGCAGGGAGGGGCTTTTCCCATTTTCCACGGCAGGCGGTCGCAGCTGCCAGCTGGGGCTCCGTGTCACTCTCTGCAGCTCTTGTCCCCTGTTTGACTCCATCTGCCCTGTGGTTGCATCCTGAAATTCATAAATTGTTTCATCACCCTCGTTTTGAACCCCTAACTGAGTGGGGTAACTAACTCACCTTGGCTGCTGCACCAGTACGGCACTGGGAGCGCTGGGCCACGGGGCTTTTCTGTTAATTTGAAACCAAGTTCCCACAAATCAATTTTTCCACGCGGTTGTCTTGTGGTACCCTTCCTCAGGAGTGATCAACTCCTTTGATCCCCTGATGGAGCCCGAAGCTGGAGCCGCCTCGCACGACCCCATCCCGGGGCACGCTGAGCCCTGGCTTCGCCCTACGGGGTTCGCAGGAGCTGCCGTCCCGCCGGGTGATGCTATCGAACTCTGTAAAATGGGGGGAGGGCGCCGTTTGTATGAAATACAAAATAAACTTGTATTGGCAGTTTTATATCTCTCATTGCTCAGCTGGGCTCTGGCCTAGTCCCCAGCTGGGTCTCTCCTGCGGCAGTACCCCCACGTGTGGGGGCCCCTTGGCACCCCCATAAAGAGGGCACTGGTAAGCCCTAGAACCCGCCTCGGAGGCAGAGCACTGCGCTGCTCATGGCGTTGTGCAGCGAGAGCCTCGTCTGAGCTTGGGCTTGTGTTTTGGGTTTTTTTTTTTAACTCCTGAGACCTTCCTAGGCCCCCTCATCCCATCGGGAGCAGAGACGGGAAGGGCCGTTGTGTCTCTGCCCATTCTGTGAGCGCCCGTGAGCGCCCGGCTCCTCCGGTGTGACCCAGCTCATCCTGCCACAGGCCAGAGCTCTCCTGCATCTGTCCCTGCAATAAGGCAAATTAATTAGGTTTATTAGCAGCGTTTAACCAGCCGTGGTGCTGCTCCAAGGGTACTTTCCTCCAACTGAGGGGCTGCGTTCTCACCAGACCAGGAGCCGCAGCTCGGCGGGGCTGGGGATGGCACCTGCCCCATCACTGCCGCAGTGGTCCAGGCTGAAAAAACACCCTTGTCCCCAAGGGTGATGCAAACCACGGTACAGCCATAAGCAAGCAATGCTCCTGAAAGTCCCCTTGCAGGGGCTCATACCCCATGAGCCAGCACAGGGAGCCTGGAGCTTCGACACCAGCACGATGGGGGCAAAACTGGTCCCAAAAGCCCTGTCATGGTTGACCCTTGAACCACAGAGACCCTCTGGGTGGCGGGAGCACGGGGGAGCAGGAGGGTGACGGCAGGCTCACTGGTACAGCTAAACTCAGCTGTATCGTGATGTTTGCTTGTGTGGCTCAATCTCTCTAGGCCTGGTTTTAATGGTTGGTATTTGAGTCACTGGGAAAGTCAGAATTCATGTGAGTTAAGAGCCTCCAACAGATATTTAATCTAAAAGGTTTTATTTGGAAAGCGTTCATATATGGAAATCATTGCTTGTACGTGCCTAAAGTATTTAAAAAGACAAAGCCCCCTGGGGATCCACATGTGGATAGAAGATTTTCATATAGTTTGGGTCCGTGGAACTCCACATCTCATTAGTGCAGATATTCAAATAATTGACATATTTACGACTCTCTCCCCAGTCGGTGGTTTTCCGTTCACCCTCGGATGCACACGCGTGTCAGACGTGTTTATACGTTACAGCCACCGCCCGCCCTGGCCCCTCTGCCCCGGGCGCTACTGCTGTGGGGCTCCAAGGGGCGATCCCCAGGCGTGGGACTGCAGAGGGGGACACAGGGTGCCTGGGGATCAACTGGGGACCCTCCAAGACCCCCCCCGCTCTCCCTGCAGCAGCCCCGGCCCACGCAGCAGCCGCCGTCTGACCTGCCCAACCCCGGGAGCCTCCTCCAGGCTCCTCAGACTTTGGAAAAAAAGACGTGTACGATCCAGCATGATGAAGGGCACCGTTTATTAACTAAATGAGGCGGGAGCGGGGCCAAGCTGATTCAAGTTCTAATTGTTTAACTTTTTCCATGTATCATCATTAAAGTTTCCTACTTAGCCAGGCATTATTTCCACCACCACACCCCCTTTCTTCTGCTGCTTTTGTTTGGAGTTGTTTAACTTTGCTTTTGTCACTGGATAGCTGCCCCAGGGACCTTACAAAAAAAAAAAATCTCAGCTCGTCCATTTGTATTAGGATGAAAGTCCTTGTGCCAGAGCAGGGGAGGTAGAGGGAAAGAAGCTCTTTAGAAAAGTTCCCTCTCCTCCCTTTCTCATGGGTGAAAGAGGCTATTTTAATTGCTGCAGGGAAAAAAATCTTCCCCACACATACAATAAACCACACAAAACTGCTCCTAACTGCAAGGGAACTTATCTGCCAGTTATTCTGCCTCTCTGTTTCTCTCTGGGAAAGCACAGGCTGTCAGGAAACACCCACAGAGCTCCCCCAGCCCGGGAGCACCTTCTCACACAGGGATGTTTAAATATTTTGAATTTTTACGGGGTCCTAAAGCAGTTCCTTCGTGCAGGGAGAGCTGCTGGGGAGGGCCTGGGCTGCAGCCAGCGCTGCTGCTTTGGGCAGTCGATGCGCAGAGGGTCGCTCTCGTGCTGTGCAACGGCGCTGCTCAGGCACTCTTCAGGCTTTGAGCTTTGTTAATGAAAATAACAACTTTTTTTTTTTTTTTTAAGAAACGCCTTAGCTCTCCACTCCCAAACCCGAGGGGTGCAGGAGGCCAGTGGGGAGCGTCTGTCCTCCCCAAGCTGTGTGACGTGGAGCGGACACGAGCTGCCGGCCCTGTGGCCCCACGGGATGGCAGGGCTGGGGCTCACCCGAGGGACACCGAGCACCATCATCAGAAAAGGCGGCTGGAGGGGACCTCAGGAGGCCACCCCATCCCTGCTCCTGTCCCCAGGCAGCACCAGCCACCCGCATCCCTCCTGGGAGGTGTCCGGTCCATCCTCAGGATGGAGATGCCCAGCTCCCCAGGCACCGTTCCAGTGTGTTTCCAAACATCTTCTCCGCTCTGGTGAGACCCCACCTGCAGTGCTGAGCTCACCTCTGGGGTCCCCACCATAACAAGGACCTGGACCTGTTGGAATGAGTCCAGAGGAGGCCACGAAGATGCTCGGGGAGGG